TGTTTAATTTTATAAAGAGAACGGATCACGTTGCTCTTTCATGATTTGATAGCAATCAATGAAAGGATTCTTCTTTTGAAAACAATATCGTCAATGTATTACTGGAAGAAAGGATAATTTTTATGAATTTCAGTTCCACTAATGTGAAATTGTAATTTGCAACAACGGTGTGCAATTATTGAGCATCTAAAAGAAGTTTATCGCAAAGTGGTTTTTATTCGCTTAACAAATTCAGTGAAATCATTCGCGATACATTTTCCTACAGTTTACAACTGAAATGAAGTATTTCCATGAGTACATTTGTAATGTGTGCATGAATTTATTTAATTATTCATTTAATCAGTTGTCATAAATCCAGAGATGGGCAATAGCCAGCTCCGTGACCGGTCAATCTGCCTAAAGACATTTAGCCTAACGACAGTTTGCCTAACGGACAATTTGCCTAACGGACAATTTACCTAACTTACGGTTTTTAATGGATATTTCACCTAATAGGCATACTGTTCCTTAGGCAAACTGTCCGCTAGGCAAACTGTCATTAAGCTAAATGTCTTTAGGCAGGTTGACCGGGTACCGCCAGCTTGGCACTTAGCGAAATAAATATTCCGATATTTCGTTGAGTAGTGGAATAGCGCGCTATTTCACATCAACTTTCGCTATTGTAAATCAAATTCTTCATTCTTCAGTATCCTTCTTTCCACGCAGCTAACGATACTAGTGCATGAATCATTCATTCAATTCCATGAATTTTATCTCGTATAATGGTTCTGCAATCATGAACATTTAAGGGCTTTTATTCCATGCCGCCTAAAGATTTCTAGTGAGCTTGAATGTTGCACTAATTTAGAAAGAGTTTTAATTATTGTCGAGCAGTAACTGAAGCTTTTTGTGAATGATTGATAAAATGTGTTACTATCTTACATCCCAGATTTTCACAAATACATTTGAAAATTTTCCGCTTATTGAAGACCGTGTTAGCTCTCACTGTTTTCTTCTGAACATTAGCAGCAATCAGTATAACATCATCATTCAACGCCAAACCGTGTTATCACTTATTTTTATCTTTTATCAAATAGCTGTCATCATTCTAAAAGTGCACCTCTTCGAGGATGGAAAATAAACGAAATTTATGACAAAAAAGAGCGTTATGCACCTCACTTGTTCCAAAAATATTGATTAAATTTAATTTTAAATATATTTGAGAGGAATCGAAGAACAAGTTTTTATATTCACAAAAAAGTACACTGAATACATTAAAGAAACCATGAAAAACGATTTTGTCTGTTACCATTAGTTTTATTTGAAAACTTGAAGTTGTTGGATGATGAGACATTGTCATATGCTTATCGTTCAACTCAAATTTTCTCATGAGCGATTTCCGAATCTTCTTGTGTTTATGAACAGTCAGATAACGTTCACCTAGGTGAATCAATTATGGCATGTTGTGCGCCGCAACTGGACAAAGAAAAATCCAACGAGACCGTCAATGAAAACAGTGTTGTTGTACACATCAAAATGAACGGGCGGTTGAGCACCTCTGACATTTAATGAGAGCACCATTTATGGAACAAATAGATATTATTAACGTTTTGTTTTTAGAATGAAGGAGCATTTATTAACTTTGAAACGAATAATTAAGCAGAAATTAATGGTGAATTTTGTGGATGGATTTTTCAATTACAAAATCTATAATCAATCAAAGTGTTGATTAATAGAAGAATAAGGAGATGAAAATTGACGACTGCAGAAAACAAAAACATACATATGTGATGTTGTGTTTTCAGGGATTTGCGATTAATTCAATTTCAAGCCACAAAAATTTTATGTTGTTTTTAACAAAGTGTTTTAGTGTTATCCAATTGTTTTTCATCTTCGTAAGTTTTCATTAGTATTATAAATGTCAGGTCTGATAATGCACCTGTCTAAATTGCAGTTAGTTGGTTCTGTTGCATCTCATAATCTATGATTAAAATTGTCTTGACAAACTGCGAAAGATAGTGAATAATGAGCCATAGAAAGAGACTCTAATTGTAAATGCAAGAGAAGAAAAGACTGAGAGTGACAGAGGGAGTAGGTACAATATATCTGATGTTAGTGTTTGTGTAGGCGCTATGAAATTTAAGCGTATGCCTAGCATGGTGGTCTCTGATGAAAAGTTTCTGGTTAGTAGCTATACGGTATCGATCAGCATTAGTTAACGATTGATTTGATTCATCAAAATAACTAATATTCGATCGGTAAAGACTTCAGTGGATCAGCGCTTCGATAGATGTCTATCCCTGATTTTAATCAGTCAAATCACCATAATTTTCATCTTCTTTGCTTATTTCAAAGCTCGACTAAATAACGCATTAGCAAGATTACTTTCAACGTTTATAATCTAATCTATACCGTATTCTGGTCATTGATTATTATATCACTGAAGTATGCCCACTCTGTTCTCAGCAACTGCGTCCAAGTTTTCATAACTTCGTTGTACTGGTGACTCCCTATTTTTCTCTTATTTCATCGTTTTTCAAATCAGTTGACAATTTTGTATTATTTCAGTGATAAGTTTAAGGAGTTCGAATGCAATTGTTTTCGTTTAATGTGTGACCTTAAATTTGTCATCAACTCTTTTTTATTATCCCTTTATAGGAACGAACTTCGAAAATGATCACCGAAAAACGCTTATCAATGAAGACATCAAAATTTGCTTTTTAGTGAGTTAACTCACGAACGAATGAATCTGTTGAGAATGAGAAAATGACATAGCTCTTCTCGTTGTTGCTATATGGGTTGTGAATGACTGTGTGAATGATAAAGAATTAAGAGGAGAATATGGACGAGTTTTAAATGAATGTGACTAATTGAATGCGTATAGAATGGCGGATTAACATCGAATGCAACAAAATTGTAGAACATTTTGATGAGATAAATATATGAAACGAGCCGTCTTATCGCCACTACGTATGTATGATTGGAATGCGCTCTGTGAAATTAAATCTCATAAATTGCCACCTATACACAAGATAGACAAGAACTGAATGAAAGGTAGTTCAGAAAAGAATAGAAAATGAAAATTTTGCTGATATCTTCAAGAGTATCACCACTATATTGAACGTTGTTGGGCTTCAATTGCTTAATGTTACTCAGACTTCAACTATATCAACGAGTGATAAATAAATCCTGGATTGCGTTCTCATTCATTGACTAAAATCAGTTTGAACCACAAGTCTGCCATTCAGTCGGCTTGAAATCTCGATTAATAATAGCACTTCATATACCCAGATGTGTCAGTTCTTGGTCGATCAAACGAATTGATTATTAAAATGCACAATATTCAGATTTCTTTGCAAACTTCCTCATGAAATGAAAATTTCGATTTCAGAGCGACATTTGAAGAAGTGTCCGCATGGGGAGTTTCGTTTGATCGCCTTATGAAACACCGAAGTAAGTTTTCCTTGTCTACAACCAATCGATCAATTTCAATCAGTTGATGAATTCAGTGAAAGACGTTCCATTTTAATAAGTAATCTATTAGCAGGTAATGACTCCTCCATGTTCATTACTGACCAAAATAGCTTTATAGAATTGTATTCTCATGTGCATTTTGGTTTTCGAAAATTTTCAATGTCTTTCAATGATGATTTGACAGTTACCAAAAAATCTGCCTGGAAAGTATCAGCGTTCCAAAAAATAAAGATTTATGAAATCTACTTGAAGCATTCGTCTAATTATTAATGTACTGCTGCGATGCTACGCTTTATAATAGTACATCACTGTACTATTTCCATCACTCAACAAAGCAATTTACAAAACTGAAGAAATTTCAAATGGGACCAACGAACGCAACAATATTTCGTTGTAATCACTGATTATCCATTACTACAAACCAAGATTCATCATCGCTTTGACCACTGACATACCTTACTATTGATCTACCTGATTCGCATAAGCAACTAGTTTGCATTTTATGCCTTCATCATAAATATTACCAATAATCCATCAAACAAGTTTTGCACTGTTGCAGTTGAACGAATTCAGCTTATAACATTGAACTGTCATTTAAAAAAATACAGCTTAGTTACTGATCTGATAATGTCATTTTCAGTTCAAAATGCAGTGAATTTCGTCACTTAAATTCCTCAGAGCCGTTCCTAAGTTAATTCATTTTCGAAACATTTGCAGTGAGCATGATCGTACCCATGAAAACTCTACAGTAACCTCAAAAAGTGAACAGTGTTAATGAGTAGCGACAATAGCAGCAGCAGCAGCAATATCGACATTATGCAATCAATCGATTCGGAATGCATGCTAACAGGCGCAGTCATGCGCTATCGTGTATTATTCTCACTGCCTATCCATGTTGAATGAACAAACTTTTTGTCGGATCATCTTTCCGATCGCTATCCATTTTTGTTTTGGCACAAAGCAGCTCATTGCTGAATTCAATTTAGGCACTATATAAGATTGAGTAAATAGCTGTTTCTAAAGGTAGTTTTGAAAGGAAGACGATAAAAATACGCGGTGAAAAGTTCATAATCAACAACATTATTGGTTTCATTTTTAAAAGCTAAACTAAAATCAGTCGGTTGTTGTTAGCAACAAGTTTAACGTCATCGAACTCGCCACGCTCATGGTTATCGTATTTTACACACATATGTCACGCATTTTCGAGGATTATTAGAAATAATATTCATTTAAATTGCACTATAAAGTGCGATCTTCGTAAGCCAAGGAAAAGGATCAATCAGTTGATGTCTTTCATTTCAGGTGGGCAAAAATATTTCGCAGAATTCTTGAAAAGTGAATACAGCGATGAGAATATTCTATTTTGGCAAGCGTGTGAGGAGCTGAAGCGAGAACGGAACGCTGAAAAAATAGAAGAAAAGGTTGGTGAATTGTTGAATGAATGTGATGATCTCAAATGTGATGGTGGTGGTGCAGCCAGCCAACCAGCCAACCGGGTGGTGCAACAGAATTTCGTTGAGGACGAAAAACAAGTTTAGAGACATGAGAATTGTTGAAATTAATGAAAGCGTGTTCATGACGACGGCGTTCTTATTTTGAAGAAGTAGAAAGTAATTCGGTTATTCGTAGTTGATGCATACCTGTAAAGATATAAACCATGATTGAAGTGATTCATGCGGTTGATTCCAATTGAATTCATTTCAGGCACGTATAATTTATGAGGATTTCATCTCGATTCTATCCCCGAAAGAGGTGTCACTCGACTCACGGGTTAGGGAGATAATCAACAACAATATGGTACACCCGTCAGCACATACTTTCGATGAAGCACAAAATCAAATCTATACACTTATGCAACGAGACTCATATCCACGATTCGTCGCATCCTCACTCTATAAGAAAGTGCTTGGTTCATATGGTCAAATGGAAGAACTGTGATCTCATCTCATCTCTTTATTCAATGTGAACATTGTCACCGTCGTCATATATTAATTGCAAAAGAAAGATTGTCATCGTCGTCATTAATATTTATTTCTGTACAATAATATCAATGAGTTGTGTGCGTGTGCATCTATGAGTGAATTCAATTG